ATTTTTTTTTATTTATTTTTTTTTTTTTTTTAAGGGGTCAATATGAGACAAGTTTTACTTCTAGTTTTGATCCCTGTGATGGTTGAATTTTCGTATGTATGTTTTTCTTTCTTATGACCATTACGAAATAAATGTTACTGAATCTGAAATGATAAGATACATTGTTATGAATCTATGTGATGCTTGTTACCATATAAGTTATAAATAAATATTTTCAAAAAAAACACTGTGGGCTTTTCTTTCAAAATCACTAACATTTAAAATAGATAATATAATGAAGGAACTGGTATAGGCATATCATATATAATGCAAGTTAATTGTATACCCGTACTTCATCAGAGTAAAGGTAAGTGCATCGAAAGAAAGTTTTTGAGAGGATGAAGCTAATATACAAAAGATTAAACCAAGAAAAGGAAATGTGAGAAATTTAGAAGTTGGAGTTAATAGTACTATTTTGTGGACTAAAAAAGAGCGTATGATAAAGCAGAGTTAACATCACATATTTATTTGTAATACCAAATAGATTGCAAATAATATAATATATTATTATATAATCAAAATAAATACCTGAAATTCTTCTTCGATAAATGTTGTCTTTGTAACAGGATTTAACCTTTTCAAGTGTGCTATCCGACTTGAAAATTCTGACAGTGGGAATTGCACAACACTTTTGAGATGAAACTCAAGCAATGCGTTGTAAATGCAAACACATTGATGCTAAATAAATCAAATAATTTCAACCTTTCAGAAAAATGTACAGAAAAAGTATACATAATATTGGTAAATAACAATTAAGTAATATATATGTGTATATATATATATAATATATATATACAATAATGTTTTAAATGTTGCTTTAGGAAACATGGACAACAAATTATATGATTTTAATTACAGTTAAAAGAAAATAGGCTAACCACTGTCTGAACCATGTCTACCCGATCGCCTCTTATTTGTTTTAGATATCCGAGGATATCGACAGACGCTTCTACCTCCATCATATCCAACATGGCGTCAATGACGATGTAGGTTCCTGTCCGTACAACACTGGCACTATAGTATATAAAGAAGTTCAGTAGGATAAAGTTAGTTTACTTGATGACTTCATCATCGTCATTTTTATCATCATTAATATTGTTTTATTAATCAAAAACACGGAAATGTAAATTTTGATGTATAATTTATAAAGCAATTACATAGCATACCTGCAGAAAACCACTGTTGGTGTCGATGAAATTGTCTCTGTACTTCGAACTTCTTTAATGAAACTCAATAGTCCAGTGTCAAACATTGGGACTCCCATATCAGGCCAAGATGTATAATGAAACTGCTTAATGTAGCGTCGGTTATCACCATTCTGCAACATTAATTCATTTTTTATTATGACAAAAAGTGAATATTTGAATTGTCAATATGTAACTACTAATTAAAAATATGATTACAGTACAGTATAATTAGTGATTTAACAGATATGTAAGCTAACATGCTTTTTGTTTATGAATACTAACCATCCATACACCAATGGTCCGAAGAGTGTAATCTTCAGAGGTTTCCTCACTATCAACTGTTACACTGATGTCGTCGAAGACAAGTATTTCCTCATCATCTGGCCAGTACTTACATTCTTCCTAATAATATTAATTATCGCCAGATTTTTTAATGTTTATAAATTACATAATAGGCCTATGTTTATATAATAAATAAATTATTAGTAATGGCTGTGACGAGTACTAATAATTACTATGAGTGTAAATGCAATTGAAAAACAATTATTTAACTAATACAAGTTATGATTATGATAATATGAAGATGATGATAGGTCTAATAATAATAATAATAATAATGATTATGATGAAGATAATAATATAAGGACATATAATGATTAAAAGGATAT